ATAAAATAGATCAATGATAGTGTAAAATAAAATGTTTGAGCATCACTGACGTCATTAGGCTTCACCCCAATAAAGGAACAGAACAAAACGGCACTATTTACAGGTTTAATGTGCCTCTTTAACTGTGGTTAAAGAGCCAGGAGAGAGCAGAAAGACTGGGATTTGAGGTGGTTGTACTTAGGGTTTGCTTAATGAATGATACCCAGAGACACTCTTGCAGGAACAGCCCGTCTATCAATCCAGAAGGAGACCCAGGAGAGGACGACCATCAGCATGGTGGGGAAGTACGTCTGCAGCATGAAGAAGAAGATGTGCCTCCGCAGGATGAAGGTTATGAAGAGACGGTTGTACCAGCCTGACAAAGAGAGACAGAAAAACTTCAGTCTTTTCAGCAAACTGTGACTCTTGATGATAAGGTTGGAGTTCCTGTTCATCCCAAAGGTCTCTAAAAGCACTCTAATCTAAAAGAATATATCTACAAGTAAAGAGACAGACGTGTCCATATGTTTGTGACTACTAAATATGAATCTGCTCCCACTTCCATTATTTTATGACACAATCTTGCTAATGGCCTGCTAATTGTATTCAGGTGTGTTGCAGCAGGGACACATGGAAACGTTTCAGGACACTGGTCCTTGAGGACTGGAGTTTGAGACCCTGCTTTAGAGCATAGTGATCTGTACTAGGACTTGTGTTTTGTCTCTAAACGTGAGTACCCGCAGATGCTACAGGCACACAAAAACACACCGGTGCTGCTGTAGAAAGCCAGGCCACTGGAGGCTTGGAAATGCTCAATGAAGAACTGTGACAGTACGATCTCATCCGTCCTCAGAGAGTCGTTGCCATTCTTCCAGTAAAGCATCAGGTCATTCTCGTTATACGCGTCTACAGTGAGAAACAATTAGAAACAAAGGGAGATGGAAAACAGAAGAAAGACAAGAACTGAGAACTGAGCTGACATTATCCACCTTTCATTTATGTGTTACTTTATGATTAAAGAACGTGACGTTTTTATTATTGTGTGTATATACTGAATGTGTCTTACAGCTCTCCAACTCCAGCGAGCAGTTCTGCGTGTCCAAAGGGAAGCTGCTGAAGTCCATCGAGCAGAGAGCCGTCACAGTGACCCTGAAACACCCACACACACAGATATAAAACAGCTTCCCGTGCAGCTGTCCCTGCACTCCAGATAAAGTTCATTGTGACAACTTGTTCGTTCTTACAGTTTACTCCCTAGAAACTCAAGCAAACCAAAGTAGAGTCAGAAAAGTGAAAATAGGGCAGGGACACAAAGATTAAAGCAGGAATCTAAAAGTTTTTTTTTTCCTAGCTGCAAAACTTTCTGTTTTGTCAGTTTGTCACATCTGATACACACTCACCAGATAGTTCAGATAGTTACACTTTGCTTAATAGCAGATGTCCTTTTTTCAGAAAATAATGTAATTTGTGGCAGAAATTTGTTCCTCAGAGATTTTGGTCCAATTGTGTGAAGCTATTGACACGGTAGCTTCCCGCTGTTCCTGCAAATTAGCTGGCTGCAGATCCGTGATGCAGATCTCCTGCTCTAACATAGAGATGTGGTCATTGTGGAGATGGAATGATCTGTACATTTATGCCGTTTCCGAATGTTGCATCAGAAATTGAGACTTCTCAGACCAGCCATATTTTTCCTATTGTCTGTGAATTGTAGCCTCAGTTTCCCGTTGGGCAGCTGATCGGGTTCTCTTCTGCTGTAGCCCATCTGCTTCAAGCATGTGTTGTGCATTCAGTGATGCTCTTCTGCAGACAATCACCTTCACATTCACATTCATGTCACATTTAAAGCCACTTAAATACGGTTCTTCCCCATTTTGATGCTCAGTTTGAACTTCAGCAGGTTGCCATGTCACTGTTACTGTCACGTCATTGGCTGATCAGATGTCTAGGTCAATGAGCAGTCGAACAGGTGCACCTAATGAAATTCCTGGTCATCTTATAAACCATCAGTGAGGCTTCTGAATAGTTTAAGGGACGCTTGGTTCATAAGGGATGCTACAGACATGCACAGTGCAAGATGGGATGCTTAGAAAAATAATAATTACTTACTTATTTTATTATATGAAAAAAACCCTAATAAATCAATGTTTTCCTGACACCACATATATTTAATAAAGTAAACATTGGCTGCACTAAGCTTCAGAGGATTTCATCGTCTTCTCTGCAGCTTAACACTTCTGCATCCAGCTGAACACCTGCCCTCTACCTGACGCTGTAGAGGATTTTTCCATCAGGGTAAACCCGCAGCATGATGTTCTCCTTGGTGGTGTCGTGGATGAAGGAACGTTTGGAGTGGACGAAGAAGACGTCAGGAACCCAGATCTTCTTCACCAGCCGGGAGTCAAAAGTCCTGCTCTGGTTGTTTCCAGACGGGAACGCCAGCCTCTCGTCCTTCCAGTAGTGACGCAGGTACAGAGTCATGGTGAAGTCCTACAGATGGCAGACACACACCAGAGAAACATATACTTCTTATGTTTCTTTAATTTTTATTCATGTTTTTCAAGCAAGTTTGAATTCATGGGAGATCTGGGGGCTCAGAAAATGTGGTTCCAGACAGAGCCTGAACCCGGTCAACACTTCCATTGTTTTAGATCAGGCTGTCATTGCAGCACCGTCCTGTTCTCATTCATCTCTCTTGGCTGGAAGAACTTTTAAGTTAGACATGGCGCTGACTTCAAAGCTGGCCACTTGAGGGATCAAGCGCCAGAGAGTCAACTGACAAACAGTGACGTCAGTAAAACTATAAAGTCATAAAACTATAAAGTCATAAAACTATAAAGTCATAAAGGAATTTAAGGAATCTCTTTAGTTCAGTTTATCTACATGATTTTATTTTTACCGAAGGGCAAAATATGACAGCTTTTGGTGTAATTTGTCATAGGAACATTGTTTTTGGCTCATCAGAATGACTTATACGATCTTATTTAGGTGTGGTCTGACAGCGCTTTTAATACCAAACTCTAAGACGCAATAAATTCTTAATGATTTGCAGCACAATGCACAAAGAGGTTGACACACTGGTTAGATCTATGTGATTAATTTGGCAGATATATATGTATATATATATTTTTATCGTGGATGGCCCTCCTGATGCAACCCCAGAGGGATCCTGGGAGGAGAGACAAAAGCAGGAAGTGTTTGCCTGTTTAGTAAATGTGTAAATTATTGAGCCACTGTTGGCAGCATAAAGGCCGTTGATCTAAAATACAGTGAAAAGTTCATAATTTAAGCCCTCTTTGTGTGCAGAGCAGTCCAGCAGGTCTGACTGGATTCTTTTTAGGCCATATCTGGGCCACAGGCTATTCAGCATTTGACACAAATGATTTGAGGCCTTTTTAAGAACAGCGCCAGCTGTTTGGGCCTGATTCTGCAAACCTCTGTTAAACACCCCAATAGTTTATTTAATCTACTAATCTGTTTATTTATTTTACAGTGTAAAAATTATTGTATTAAGACATTTAACCAACATCTTCAGGAATATATTTAGGCAGCCTCTTTTATGATTATTTGCTTGTGACCTTCCTTCATTCCTGTTAGTCACACTCCCTTTCTGATTACTGGTCCAATTAGTATCTCCTGTGTTCAGTTATCCTCTCACTTCCCGGGCTTCCTTTTTCCTCTATTGGATTTATTTGCCACTTTCCTAAATCAGGTTTAGCTGTTTTTATTCGCCTTCCTTCAAAATCCTACCTTTCATGTATGGATCTTGCTATTTCTTGTCTTTCCTATTTTTGATTTTTGGACTTTTATTGTGACATCTTGCATTTGGGTCCTTTCCTCTGTGACATGCCATTAAAAATCCTCACCATGTTGACCTCTGAGATGCTGTCGATGCTCTCCACCTGCACATCAATGCCTACGGGGATGGGCGCACCTAAAGCAAAGGCATGGAAAGTATTTCATTTTAATGCCATTAACTCATAAATTATTCATCAGTGCTAGTAAAGAAACTCAGACAGTCAGAACTGTGCAGCTCAAGCTCTGCACATATTTTATGGGTGTCACAATTCTGTGTGTGAGTGGGGGTGGGGGGTGTGAATGGTGTAAACCGTAAAAAGTTATAAACTTAGATAGACTCGACACATGGGTCATATTTCATGGGTTTCGCAAGTGCGTGTGACAGAATGATTCTAAAGCACCACCCATTTAATTTAAGGTTTTCTGGAGCCTATCCCAGCTGTCACTGGATAAGACACACT